CGGACAAGCCGCCGTCGCCCTCTCACCTTGAGCTGCCCCACCAGCCGCAGAAACTGCAGCAGATTCCGGGGCCCGCGGCTCGACAGGGCTGCAGCGGAGGCCGAAGCCATGCGGCCACCGATCCGGACAGGGCGGAGCAGGCCGCGCGGCTACCGCCTGAAGCTCCTCCCCCTCCTTCCCCTCCCGCTCCTCTTTCTCTCCCTCGGTCTTCACCACTTCGTGACCCTGGTTTTCTCAGCCCCTTCTGTCTTGCCTTGCACCCTCAGGCCTTGGTGGCTGCCCCTTGAGCATTGTGCCATCCATGGCAGCAACAGTGCTCGGCACATACTAGGCACTCATTACTTGTTTGCTAAACTCCATTCAGCTGGACTCCATCAAATTTTTAAAAACATTGCCTTTCCCGGGGAGGGGCAGATGGCACGAGTGTTGGAGGAAGAAGAGAGCTAAGTCATATTGCACCCAAATCTTACCTTATGGGAACTCAGTGTCTGATTGGGAAAAGATGAAGAGCTTTACTTCAAGGTAGGCAAACTATAAACATCAGAACAGAAGCACAAGAAAAGTACTTTGGTAGGGAGAAATTAATCAGGAATGACAAAAGTCCAGTAGGACTTTGGGACGACTCATAGCCAAGGACTTTGGAGATAGACATAAATAGGCCGGGGAGTAAAAACAACTCCAGGATAAAAGTCACAACCTCCCTAAAACCTCAAGTGCTGAAGAATTCACTCCCCCCAAAAGTTGACAGGGTCTGTGTCAACCATCTGTCTTAATTCCATCAACAATGGTACCAATTTTTAAGGGCATTTAGTGGACAAGAGCACTGAAGAACTCGGGGTAATGTTGAGAATAGACTATGTGGGGGAGGGAGACCAATTATGATACTGCTAAAATAATGCTTGGGGAGATGGTTTTGGTTTGGTTCAGGGTGATAGCAGTGGAAGTAGTAAGAGGTTGTTGAATTTTGGATACAGTTTGAAGGTCGGACTAACAGGATTTGTGACAGATTGGAATGGGGTATACAAGAAAAAAGTCAAGGATGACTCCACAAATTTTGGCCCAACTAGAAGGATGAAGTTGCCATTTACTGAGCTGGAGAAAACAGCAAGACGAGTAAGGTTGTGGGAAGGGTAGGAATCAGAAGTTTCATTTAGGACATGTTGAGAAGCCTATTAGAGGTCCTAAAAAAGGTATAATCTGGAGGTCAGGAGAAAGATAAAAGTTTTGTGACATCGACATATAAGATGGTTTGTAAAACCACAAAACTGGATGAGACCACCTGGCGAGAAAGTGTGAATGAAGAAGAAATGACATCTGAGACTAAGCCCTAGGGCCACTCAACATTTTGAGTTTGGGAGACCAAGAAGCAGCAGCCAGTGAGGAGGAAGAGGAATAGAGAGAGTTGTGTCCTAGAAGCCAAATGAAGAAAATATTTTAAGAAGGAAGGAATGTGGTCAACCAAGTCCATGTCATATCCCATAAGAATTGAGATTTGACTACCAGACTTAGCAAATTCCATCATTGGTGACCTTGACTAGGACTGTGGAGTGCAATCTTACCAGGATCCTGGCAGGAGAGGAGACCAGAATATTTGTGAATGGAGGAGAAGGCACGCACTGGAGGATTAAGAAGAGAAAAGAAGGCATAAAATAGTCATTTTGGAAAGTGGGACAGCAACAGGATTAAATATGACTAAACGCCCAATGAATGCTAAGGACAGTAACTAAACGCCCAATGAATGCTAAGGACAGTATTAAAAATGGTTAGGATGATGGACTAGAAACTTGTTAAGGTGGTAGATGGTACTAAATAAGGATTAAAGACAAGTAGTCAGGTCCCTTGGAGGAAAACAAAAACAAAACAACAATAATAATTTAAAAAAAAAAAAAAGATCAAGTAGAATGAAAAAGATGAGGATGTTTGATTTGCAGAAGAATATGGTGAGGAACATTCTAGAGATGGGTGCCACGAAGCAATGGGACAGCAAGCCAGATGGTGAATGTGCAGTGCAACCTGTCGTTTCCTTCTGATTAGCCTTGTCCCCTTCCATTGCCAAGTGAGCCTTGGTTTCTTTTGAGCTTTTTCTAATTCGTGCAGGCTTGATTTAGTCTTCATTGGTATCTCTACTTGTTATTTGTAACTTTCTTTTCAAAATACATGTGAGTTCTCTTAATTTTGTATAGTGAAATACAAAGAATTTCTCTAGATGCCTAAATTATCAAGAATTGGAAGACATTAAGTTGCTGAGAAATTGTGAACTGGGTGTATGTAACTTTTAAGAGGCCCTATTTTTAAAGATGATATGGATTTCTTGAGGAGATATTATTATCCAAAAATACATGGTTATAATGACAATTTAAAAAAATACTGTCAACTTCTTGCTTTTCTAAATTGTAAATGTTCATCAGAGCTTGTAACAGGGCTTATTTCTACCTTGTCATCAAAAATACCAAGGAAAAGGGGACTACGGTATGTAAAATAATGGCCTCCCAAAGGTTGTCCAGAGCCTGTGAATATGTTACATTATATGACAGAGGAGAATGGTGGCAGATAGAATTAAAATTTCTAATCAGCTGGATTTAAAGTAGATTATCCTGATGGGCCAAATGTGATGATAAGTGTCCTTAAAGGTAGAAGAGGGAGACAGGGAAGTGTCAGAGTGATGTCATTTGAGAAAGATCCAACTGGCTATCACTGTCTTTTCAGATGGAAGGTGGTCACAAGCCAAAAAAATGCAGAAAGTCTCTACAAGATAAAAAAAAAGGCAAGAAAATTAGATTTCCCCTTCAGTCCTCTGGAAAGAAATGCAGCCTGGCCAAGACCTTGAGTTTAGTCCAGTGAGACCCTTTTTGGACTTCTCACCTCTAGAGCTACAAGATAATAAATTTGTGCTGTATTAAGCTATTAAGTTTGTGGTACTGTGTTACAGCAGCAATAGGAAACTAATACAATGATTAATCATATTGAATGATCTTGACCGTTTGTTACCAAATACTCTTCTTCACCTTCCACCCTCCCCCCCACCGCCCCCAGAAAAAGGGACATTGGCAATCCTCTTTGCACTCTATCAAACCAATGACTTATTTCAAGGACCTGTTGGCCAATCACTAGAATCAGGGGAAATAAGAATCAATTTGTTTCCACAGAAGTGGGTGCTAGTTCAAAGCAATGGGCAAGGATAACAATTAGACATCAACTACGTGAGTCCACTGGAAGAAAAGATGAAATGAGAAGGCTTTTAGGATTCTTCACTTGGCCTCGCTATACACTTCGGAGGTATCAGTGAATATCTTTAAATTGTCTACAAATTGTGTTAGTTTCAATAAATTTTCTGTTTATCAGATTCTTAAAGAGTTCTCTGACCAGCATAAGTGCAAAACCTGCCACTTTTGAGAAAGTTGCTTCAGTGTGTAGCTATGGTACAGGACACAAAGCTCTGGTCTTGGTGTTACAAAGAAACAAACAAAACTGTAACTGAGCATGTACTGGTGAGAGATATAGTTACATATCTCACTTTATTTTAATTCTCTCAACATCTCTCTAAAATATTAATAATCCCATATTTCAAATGAGAAAACTGTGTTGCCCAGAAGCCAAAGAACTGACTTAAATTTCCATAACCAGTGAACAGTGGTGCCAGAATCATAGATCTTCCAAATCTTTTTTCCATGACACTCACTTCTCCTAGTCAACCAGCTACTAGTATCCACTTCTTATCTTTGTGGAATTAAATGAGATTCTAAGTATGGAACAGATTTTGTAAACTGTTATTTATGTAAAGAATTGGGCAAGAGAATAGATAGCAATGGTTTGATCTGAGAAAATTTGCCCAGAAAACACTCAGTAGTATGCTTTAGGAATTGACTAAAGAGTAGAGACCAAATCTGACCAAAATCCAAGTTCTTTTTCCCCACTTTAAGACATTCTAGAAGTACTGCTTCTGACTGCTGTAGCTTCATAAATAAAAAGGTTAATAATTGGTCTACATCAGTTGTCTACCTCAGGGTGATTTTCCCCCAAGGGGAACATTTCATAATATTTGGAGACATTTTGGATTGTCACAAAGTGGGTGGGTGTGTGTGCTTCTAGAGGGCAGGAGCCAGGGCTGCTACTAAAATTCTTATGAAGCACATGACAACCTCCCATGACAAAGAATTGACTGGCACAAAGTGTAACTAGTGCTGCGCTTAAGAAGCCACAGTCTATATGTCCAAAAAAAAAAAAAAAACCCCACAATTAAATCCCTTACATTGTTGACGAATTATGATTAGCAGAAAAATGATGTTATGATTATATTAAAACAAGTGAAATAATAAAGGAAACAAACCATTTCCACATGGTAGCTCCTCTTTTTTTAATAGGGCAGAAAGGCTCCCGAGCTTGGCTCTGCCAGAGACTCTGGAAAGATGAGGGGAATTCGAGGAGGGCTTTGATCATTTATGTAACTAGGTTAAAGCAGAGCAATTCAGCTCAGAAAAAAATAAATGTATGGTATTAAGTCTGGGAGCAAAGGAAACGAAAGGAATGGTTGTTCAAGGGAAAGTGATTGGGCTTTGTTCTATTTTGCCACTTTCTTGCCTGTGATGCAATATCGTAGGGCAGCAAAAAAGTCAGAGTGTGTACCACTTCCCACCATAAAACCAGCCATTAATTAAAGAGCCAAGGGAGGGCTTTCTGCTGAAATGAGCAGCAGTGGAGTGAACAAAGCTTGTGCTGGCTAAGAGTGGTGGCGAAAACATTACCAAGAAAGATGTGCCTTTTTCCCAGTAAAGTTTTAGCCAAGCAAGGACACTTTGTCTCCAAGCCAATTTTCATTAATTAATAGATATGTTAATAGGTGGACACCTCTGGATTACAGTTTAGAGGAGTTCTGCATGTATAAAGACATTATGGTTTGTCTTATTTTAAATTATTATCTGAATGAATACAGTTGACCTTTAAACAATGTAGGTTTGAACTTCATAGGTCCACTTATACATGGATTTTTTTCAAAAAATACAGGAAGTGTATTTTCTCTTTATGATTATCTTAATATTTTTTCTCTCTTTATTGAAAGAATAAAGTATATTATATATGTATATCATACAAAATAAGTGTTAATCAACCATTTATGTTATTGGTAAGGTTTCTGATCAATAGTAGGCTATTTTCAACTTAAGAACTCAAAATTTATACTCGGATTTT